TGACATATAAGTTATTTGTGTTCGCACGAGAATGACCTGTCTTTTTATGGCAAAATCACCTACAAATATATTTAGCGGGGGATGGAGCCCATTTTGCTTATCACGCTAGCCTAATGACCAAAAGTCTCAATGTCATTGGTGGTACACCCTGTCAGCGTCCATTTCAGTCTTCCTGTTTTGTCAATTCTGCCACGTCTCGCGCTTCGCAAAAGTGGTATGATTTCCGGTTCAAACAATTGTGGAATATGATATTGTAAGTGACGTGTTCCATGGCTGAGGCATGCCAATTTATAAACGCCCGATGATTTTACATATCCATCCAAAGCATAAAAAGGTATTCAGAAAAACTTACGGTGCCTCAGCTGAACCGCAAATCACACATGTTTTACGGGCAGAACTTCAGCGCGAAAAATGAAGAGAGAATTAACGCCAGGTCAAATGAAAGTTGCAGACAAATGCTCCGTGACCATAGAAGATATGTTCGTGAAATCCGTTGCTTAGACTAATAGGTCAGCCCTGGCAACTTGTAGTGTCAAGGAGGCTAAACCCTGCTTGGCTAAAGCAAGGCGGGGAAAAGTCCATCTCTAGCGTAATTGTGGTTCACTTAATTGAGAACGGCCAGCGGGTAGACGTCAACAAAGCATTCCGAGTCGTCTACAGAATGGACGAAAGGCCTAACCGTATGGACACCAAATTTTGGCGAGCGCTTCCGTATGTCAAGAACTTTTCGGAAGCTGTCGGTCGCCTTCTCGAACCACTTGGGGTTTGAGTTGCACACAGACCTGAGGCAACCATCAGACGTCAGGTAATGAAATCGAAAGACGCACTGCCACGGTTGGAAACGTCGGGAGTCGTTTATCGGATCTGGCGCAGTTGCGGACAAAGCAACTACGTCGGAGAAACCGGAAGACTGCTTTGAACGATAATGGCCGAACACGCTTCAGCGGTGCGGAGACATGACGCCAGCTCTCAAGTTGCGGCTCATTCAACAAGATCCGGCCGCGCATTTAACTTCGACGAGGCCGAAATTCTCGCAAGAGGTGACAACCGCGTGAGCCGTGAGCTGCTTGAGTCATGGTTTACTGACCTCCAGTTCATTAACAAGTGCAATGAACTTCCCCTTCCATACTCGGTGCTGAAGCTTCACCTATGCGGAATAATTAGCCACGCGGGAAGCGTATAGGTGAACACTTTTCCCAACACCAGGGTCGGTGCGTCAGATGGCCGAGCAATCATAACGCTAACACCCCACGCACGTGATTAAATTGCAGCAATTAACGACGCGAATGTCGGCCATCTAACAATTAACACACCAAATGCGACGATCCCGGATGAAGGGGGGAGCCGTGAACGTTTATAGGTATGCGGTATCATGGCGACTGCATCCTGTAAATACTGCAGCTCCTTGTGCATGAACCACCCGTATCTGCCTCTGTCTCTGATGATTGGCTCGAGCAGGAATGCGAAACGTCAGGATAATAAAGTTCCTGTCCCAGCGATCGTGTCTCCTTCTTCAAGACTACTTCCTGGGACTCGTCTCTTCGCTTCTATTGGCAACTACAAAGTTTCAGCGAGACATTTCACGTTCCTTGCAACTGGTTTCTCTAGCAATTCAGACACGAGCGTGCCTAAGCTTTGACACTGTTGTTCATGCCAGGCCAGATGAAACCTTCTGCTGCAGACCATAATTCAGAAACGCAATGCTCCACCAAATCGCAGACGGACTTTCAAGAACAAGAACTTCTAAAAACACTACTACGTAGAACGCGGTTTTGTGGCAACAGAATTGAAACATTATCAGGTCGTTTAACCGGCTGTGCGAAATTCATTGTTTTGGCATTGCAACTAGCCGCTGCGAATGTTCACAAGAATTCTGCAACATTTTTTTTTACCAGGCGAGTGCACACATGTTAGGTGTGTTCTCTAATTTCATCTTGCAGCCTTCGAAACCGCAAACGAAATGCGGAATTAGATTGTTCATGAAACTGGATAGTTCGCTGAAGCACGGTTTTAAATTGTAATAACTTTTTAATCAAACGGCCTAATACGGCAGTGTAAATTCCCCGTATTACAGAGGGTCTTGCGCCAAGTTCCATGCGGGGGGGGGGCGGGGGGGGCGCCTATTGAGAGTGACACCCTGGCTACCACGGCCATCAGACCCGGTCCCGAGTGGAAAGAGAAGACGGGCGTCAGTTGGGAGGATTGTATGTTCTGTACAGAACAACTGGAGGAGGGATTGGGGGGAGTTGGCCGTCGGAGGAAGATGCCTCCCACGCAGGCAGAGCGGGGTCCCAAGCGTCCGTCAGAGAATGTGGCAAAGCGTCTTAAGCCAGGGCACGTCTCACGCGGCCTTGAATCTGATTGGTCAGTTGTAAAGCCGAGTGGACGAACGCCAGGCAAGCCTGATTCGCACGTACAGACACTCGCGGGCGGCCCTGTGTTGCGACAGGCACTCAGAGTAGGGCCACTACGATTGCTCCCTTTCTAACTCTAACCCTACCACTAACTACTATCCTAACTCTAATCCTTGCCCTCCTAACCTTTAGGCTCCTAATTCTAAAACTAGCCCCAGAACCAAACCTAGCTAATAAGAATTCAACGGATGGCCGCCTGTAATAGGCAGGACCCGTATTCTCGTGTGCTACTGCAACGCCCAACGAACTCGATAGGGTTGTTTAAATATAGAAATACTTTTCGGCGCGCGGGCCTAAGATGGAGATGACGCAACCGCGTCCTGGTGAAGGTGGCCGGTGTCCCTTCCTCTCACTTCCGCCGGCCCCTTTTCCCGCAACGTACCGTGACGCTCGTATCGTTCTCTCTCTACCTCGGCGCCTCCCTCGGCACTTTCCCGCAGTTGCCCACAGCGCTGCGCTCCCCACCGGTTAATTAGCTGGCATGTCGGTATCGCCTTTCCATCCAGACAAGTTACTTTACGGTTGTAACTCGTTCTGCTTGTACTATTAACTATTATTATACGCCTTTCTAATTCAAATTTCTGTCCATTTTACCTTCTCGCCTACTTAACGTTGCTTCTTACTTTAGGTGCGGATGAGCTCTGTGACTTACTGACAACCCTATTCAGATCAAAGCTAGCCAGAATCTCTTCCCAGTGCCTTGCTACTTGGGTGTGTGCTACCCTTGACTTCTTCGGCAGCTACAATACCAACCAAACTTTAAATAATAAAACAGACCAGTCTACTTAACTTTCTAAACTCTTCAAAAGCTGTCCCTATTACAGTAAGTATTCAACCAGCCAATGAGAACACCTCATATGCAGTGGGTATCGTAACGAGGGAATAGTAGTCGAAATCTAGAAATCCGGTCCAACAAGAAAGACTCGCTTAAGTGGGGTCGTTATGTAACTTTGCATGCAGACCAGAATGTTTGCCTTCGGTTGACTATACTATCTGTAATCTGTGAAACTCATAGAAAATGCGCGGCCTGAAAATTCCATCATTTTGATGTCCGCGTAATGTAAACGATGTTTTGTAAAAAAAATGCGCGATGCATTCCTTCTTTTTACTCATTATATAGCAAGTGGAGTTCCCTGAATGCATTGAACTCGGTAAAGACATGCCTTCCAACCTTAAAGATAGGCTGCATTATCATCACTTGCCTCACCTGGTTTACAAGGACCAAAAAATATGGTTCCGATTGGATGAAGGTTGTTTTGCTAATTCTGTCCTTACCTTGCATGGTTACGTTGTTATTACTTTCATTTGACCCACTTTTGAAAGTTCCGGCCGTCTCGA